CAAACAAGAAGGGACTCAAAGCCGATCCTTGATGTAGCCCCACCTCCACCTTGAACTCGTCTGTCTGACCTACAGCACATCTCACTACTGTCGTACCTCTCATACATATCCTGAACTACGCTGACATACTTCTCTCCCACTCCTGACATCCTCATACAGTACCATAGCTCCTCTCTCGGCACTCTGTCGTACGCTTTCTCTAAATCCACAAAGACACAATGCAGCTCCTTCTGACCATCTCTATACTTCTCCATTAACATTCTCAGAGCAAAAATTGCATCAGTAGTGCTCTTTCTGGGCATGAAGCCATACTGCTGCTCACAGATATCCACTTCCTTTCTTAGCCTAGCTTCCACTACTTTTTCCCATAGCTTCATTGTGTGGCTCATCAACTTTATACCTCTGTAGTTGCTACAACTCTGCACATCACCCTTGTTCTTAAAGTTCGGCACTAGTACACTTCTCCTCCATTCCTCAGGCATCTTCTCACTCTCTAAAATCCTGTTGAACAAACTACATAGAGACTCCACTGCTGTCTCTCCTAGACACTTCCACACCTCCACAGGTATGTCATCTGGACCAATAACCTTTCCACTCTTCATTTTCCTCAGAGCCTTCCTCACCTCATCCTTTCTAATCTTTGCTACTTCCTGCTCTACAATATTCACCTCTTCCCCCCTTCTTTCCCTCTCATTTTCCTCATTCATCAGTTCCTCAAAATACTCCTTCCATCTTCTCTGCACACTCTCCTCACTTGTTAGTACCTTTCCATCTCTGTCTTTAATCACCCTTATCTGTTGCACATCCTTCCCATCTCTGTCTCGCTAATCTGTACAAGTCCTTCTCACCTTCCCTCGTGTCTAACCTGGCATACAACTCATCATATGCTTTCTGTTTGGCCATTGCTACCTCCCTCTTCACTCTACCCTGCAATTTCTTGTAATCCTGTCTACTGTCTTCAGTCTTTTCTATGTCCCACTTCTTTCTAGCTAGCCGCTTCCTCTGAATGCTGTCCTGTACTTCCTCGTTCCACCACCAAGTTTCCTTATCTTCTATTCATAAATGTAAATTCTCCAATCAGGAGCCACATTTCTATAGTCAGTATATTCGAACAATTCGATATTCGACAAACAGAAAGCTTCTAAAACTGTAAGTCTCTGTATTTAATGTGATATTTATGTAATAACCAGATGCTGCCTCTGCAGTTGCTGTGATTTTATTTTATTTTAACTTCATTTTCAACCTCAACCTCCCACTAAAACTTCGGAAAGCCCTGCTTCTCCCATTACTACCTTCTGGTAGTGAAATCAAACTACTAAAGGTACACAGACCACCCTAATATATGCAGAAGGCTTCACTTACCGAATGTATCTTAAAACCACAGAGTAGTGAATAATGAACCTCAACCTCCGTTTCTGGTATACACAAACCAACTACATTTCGCGGGCTTCCAGCCTTTCTTTTTCTTTTCTTCTTCTTCTTCCTTCTTCTTCTTCTTCTTCTTCTTCTTCTTCCTTGGCGTTTACTGGCAGATGGCATTCAATACGTTGCATTACTGCCATCTTCTGGTACCATTATCCTCCTGCCTTTCCATCCCACTAAATTTTATTAACCAATCCAGTCCTTCTCGGGAAGTTCGACACAATCATTTGTTTTGGCCCCTAAAGTCTGTTCAGCTCTATTACATGCACTTCATGTTCTCTGACCTCTATCTTAACCTCCCGTTCTTCCATGTATTTTCTATAGACCCTTCCTTTCCACTTTCTGTCTGATTACTCTGGGTCGGACTTCCTTCTAACATCATGGATGTGTTATGAGATCTGGTTACAGGGTTGGAGAGGACGAGGGGCAGTGTCATGACATGCAACGTCATTGCGTTTCATTAGTGGGTTGCGCGGGATTTTTGTATCACATGTTGCTTGCAAACCGTCCAAAAACCCAGAAGAAGAAAACGAAGAAGCCTACTGCTACTAGCTATCACAAGCTATCACAAATTGTCACAGGTCAGCGTTTGAGGGAAACGGAAAGCCAGCAGGTATGTTGAACTTGCATATCTGTGGAGCAAAAACGCTTTATGGTAAATGATTAGAATACATAGGTAAGGCATATACAATAACATATGCCGTATTTATCACTTCGCTGTCTCTGCTGGAGCAGTGTTGTCAGCTGGCTTGTGATTCATTTTAACGTTACTTAACGTTAGCTCTGCGTTTTTATTGCAGCGAACTGATAACAACGCTAATATTGATAAGCTAACGTTAACAACTTTGTTAATGTTAAAGGTATTCAAATGCTAATGAGCCGTTAAATTTGCTGTCCCTCACAAACTAACTATAAAATTACCGGTGCTCCAGTTTAAAGTTGCCGTAAGTAACTTTTTTTTTTACAGTCTTATTAGAAACATCCCCCAAAACCTATCTTAATGGGGAGAATTGCTGTTGAAGGCTAACCTAACCCCAGACTCATTAAACACAGGGCTCCAGAATAACATTTCATACACCCTTTCGACCAATATAAACCAAGTCTCTCAGAAGGTATTATCAGTGCCAGATTTGGTGGCACGACTTCTGGTATCACGTACCATTCTGCACATTGTTTTAAATTACCTTATCACAAGATATGTATATACAGCAAGTGTGATGAAATCCAAAGAGAGTGACTTGCATCATGTGGTTTACAATGAATGGAAAAAGTCATTTCTGAGTCCGAATTCCTCTTTTGATGTATTCACTTGAGTGTTCTATATAATGGTGGCACTGATTATTATTATTATGTTAAAAGTAAAACAGTATATGATCTCAACAGAAGAACAGGGTGTATGTTTTATCCCTTGTATGTGTGGGATTGCAGTCCTTTTTACTTGTGGAAAAAAATTTTGGATCTAAACTTTGTAGAAGGCAGCTCCTTTGTGGTGATGTGATAGGTTATTGTGAACTTAATGGTAATAATTAGTTCAGGGTTGTCATGATCTGATATTAGGTATCGGTATCTGCGCGATCTGGGCATTTTTCACAGGAATGTTAATTTGCCAGAATAGAGCCAATCCAGTTCTTATCCATATGTAGAACTACAATCCTGTATTTGATTGGATTCAGAAGAGTTTTTGAGACCTGCATGTCACACAATCCATAAGATGCTATATTAATCAGTCTAGCTGTCCAAACTACTATTATGTCTGCTGGTATATCACTCGTGCTTTATGCACTTAGCTGCAACCGTAAGTCTGTTTTTTTTCCCTCTGTTTTCATGTATTTTTGTTGTGGCCAATATGAATATTACTGCAGATTGTTCTGCTGAAATATTTTTTAAAATATGGAAAAATGAATGGGATATATACATAGTATAATCATAGTGTTTTATTCCTGGTTTGTCAACAGTGGGTCTTAAGAAATTACATCTTTTACACATCTGTCTCATGCACACTCCAGTTAAACTGGAACACTTGTCCCTAGGTATCTTGCTGACTGAAGTGAAGTGAAGTTATGATTACCTGTCACAATAAGGACATTCATTTTCCTCCTCTGTTGACAAGGTTTTCATATTCCAACCATGGCTATGAGAAGTGAGGCCAGGGTGGAGACAGCGGTAGAGGAGGAAGAAAACTATGGTCCACAGCTTCTGTGCAGACTGGAAGTATGTATTCTGAGTGCAGTTTGCTCCATCTGAACAGTTTCTTACAAGCACCTGGTGTGTGCCCTCATTGTGAATCCCAGGATTCATGATTATTCAAACATATGTATATGTGCCTACAGCCTATTTGTAGCTTCAAGTCTATTTTTTGGAGCAAAATGCATAAAATGCTCCACAGAATTCACCAAAACAATGAAAACTCAATAGTTCCAACCAGAACTCTACCAAAAACAAGAAATGCATCAATCAAAAACAGTTAAAACAGATGATCTATCATCTGTTACATCAGTCCTACTGAAGATGGCAATTCTTTTTAAAGTGTGTGTAGTTTTCATTTGCTGTTTGTATAATGCAAGTGTAGCCAGTAATTCCCTCATTCTCTGTTATTTGTCAGAATTTCTATAAACTCTAGAACTGCCTTTCACCTGTGCAGTATCACCAAAATCAGGAGCATCCTGTCTCAAAGTGATGCTGAAAAACTGGTCCATGCATTTGTTACTTCCAGGCTGGACTACTGTAACTCTTTACTATCAGGATGTCCCAATAATCCCCTAAAAAGCCTCCAGTTAATCCAAAATGCTGCAGCCAGAGTACTGACAGGAACTAGCAAGAGAGATCATATCTCTCCCATATTAGCTTCTCTCCACTGGCTCCCTGTAAAATTCAGAATAGAATTTAAAATCCTTCTCCTAACATACAAAGCCCTTAATGACAAGGCTCCATCGTATCTTAAAGACCTCGTAGAGCCTTATCATCCTAACAGAGCACTTCGCTCTCAAAGTGCAGGTTTACTTGTGGTTCCTAGAGTCCACAGAAGTAGAATGGGAGGCAGAGCCTTTAGCTATCAAGCTCCTCTACTATGGAACCAACTCCCAGTCTCAGTTTGGGAGGCGGACACCCTCTCTACCTTTAAGATTAGACTTCAGACGTTCCTTTTTGATAAAGCTTATAATTAGGGCTGGATCAGGTGACCCTGAGCCTTCTTTTAGTTATACTGCTGGGGGCCACCCATGATGCCCCAGGTTCCTCTCTTCTCCCTCCATGCATCTTCTATATGCCACCATTACATGTCATTAACTTTGTGTCTCCTCTCTCCCATAGTGTGTCCTCTCTCTCTCTCTCTCTCCCTGTACCTTTCTGCAGGTTGCCCTGGCCCTGGAGCTCTATTTTTCTGATGAGCAGTCACCAGCCACATCAACCTGCCCAGTGCTTGTTGTTGTGTTTGTTGTGTGTTGCTTTTCTTTCTCTCTCCTCTATCCACTCACCCCAATCAGTCAAGGCAGAAGGCCGCCCACCAAGAGCCGGGGTCTGTTGGGCGGTTTCTTCCGTTAAAGGGAGTTTTTCCTCCCTACTGTTGCCAAGTGTTTGCTCAAGGGGGATGGGTTTTCCTCTATAAAAATAATAATAATAATAATAAGGTCTAGACCTTACTTTGTAAAGTGTCCTGAGATGATATTTGTTATCACTTGATACTATACAAATAAAACTGAATTGGAAAAAAAATTGAATTGAATTTGGGGCTAAATAATGGGTAAACATCATTTAACTCGGTATACCGAGCTCATATGAATGCTCTCCCTTTCTTTGGCATATTGAATTGTGTATTATCAAGTATGTTTTGGACCCTACAGAAGCCCTGGTCTGACCTTCCCCTATCTACTAATGAATTTACATGTAGCTGCCTCTCATTCCAATATCTCCCTTTGCAGCAATGTGGAATCAGTGCCAGTGACATCAAGAAGCTGGAGGATGCAGGTTTCCATACTATTGAGGCTGTGGCTTATGCTCCTAAGAAGGAGCTACTCAACATCAAGGGCATCAGTGAGGCTAAAGCTGAAAAAGTTCTAGTAAGAAACCACAGCCTACTCACTCAGTACCCCATAATAATATTTGTGTGAGGAGTAAAATGGACATGTGTTGATCTTTTATGGAAAAAACGTACTTTACAATTCTCAGACAAATATGTTTATGTTGCAGAATTACACTACATGTTACACATTATGTCTAGTTATAATAGTTTTTCTAAAGGATTAGAGTGTTTCTGGACAAAGGTCTACTGAGATGGGAGTTTTATTTATCCTCTCATTTTTAAATTTTATTATTTCTTTATTGCCAGGCTGAAGCAGCCAAACTGGTACCTATGGGCTTCACCACTGCTACCGAGTTCCACCAGAGGAGAGCAGAGATCATTCAGATCTCTACAGGCTCTAAGGAGCTTGACAAACTACTACAAGGTACTGTACATGTATTAATCAGCGTCAGAATCATCTTTTTTGGCCAGGTTTGACACACGAGGAATTAGACTCAGGTACAGTGGTTCTCAATGTGCATGTACAGTGTTCTTACATAAGGCAGCAAGTAAACAAGATAAGACTCAGATAACAAGAAAAGAAAAAGGAGTGTGCATTAGGAAAATAAAGTGTGTGTGTGTGTGTATGTGTGTATATATATATATATATATATATACACACACAGGATGGTGTTTTTCAGATATATACAAAAGTATATTTACAAGGTACTGCACTGAAGGTTGTCATTCTGTTATACAGTCATGGGTTAAGTGTTCATTGGAGTCATGGCCTGGGGGAAGAAACTGTCCTTGTGTCTGATTGTTGTGGCATACAGTGACCTGTAACACCATCCAGAGGGGAGGAGTTTAGACAGTTTGTGTCCAGGCTGTGATGGGTCTGCAGAAATCTTCTCTGCCCTTCGTTTGACCTGTGAGGTATACAGGTCCTCCATGGAGGGCAGGCTGGCATTGATGATTATGACATTAACTCTAGCACATACTGGGCTAACCACTGGGGAGCGATCTGACTAAACATCACACTGCTCAACAATCCATGGTCACTGTTTGATTCTTCTCTTCATGATGCGCCATACTTTCTAAGTAGGAGACAGATATGGACTGCAAGAGGCCAGTCGAGCACATCTCAGTTCCACCTGCCGGGTGGGATTGTTCTGTGTCTACGAAGACAAACTGTTGTAGCATATGCAGAATGAGGCCTGGCAGCGCCCTGCCAACAAATATCCATAGACTTCCTGGTAAAAGATTTTGCCTTGATGGCAGCATGTGTCTAAAATTGCAGCTCACCGGTGCTGTGGGCACTGATGCAACTCCCCAACATCGCAGATGCTGGCTCCTGCACCTTTCACTGATAACAGTCTGGGCTTTGTCATCTTTGGCACGGGGAACCCGACGTCCATTCTTCCTGAAAACAGGCTGAAGCATGGACTCGTCTGGCCACAGAACATGTCTCCACTGTCTTTCGGTCAATCTGAGATGAGCTCGATCCAGAGAACTCCACAGCCTCTCTGCACAGAATTGATTTATGGCTTCCTCCTTACGTAGCAGAGTTTCAGGCTACATTTCTGGATGCAGCAGCAGACTGTGTTAAGTGACAGCAGTTTTCCAAAGTCCTCCAAAGCCCATGTGGCTGTATTCATCACAGCAACATGACATTTTTTTACGCAGAACCTCGTGAGGTCAAACAAATTCAACAGTGGTTTCCACCCTTGGCCTTTAAGCACTGATATTTCCCTGGATTCCCTGAATCTTTTCACAGTATTATGTACTGTAGATGGTGAAAGGCATATTTTTTTTTGCAATCTTGCTTTGAGAAACATTCCTTTTGAACTGACTGACAATTCTCTTATGTAGTTGAGCACAAAGTGGTGAGCCACAACCCATCCATCATCGCAAGGACTGAGTCTCTGGTGGATGCTCCTTTTTTACACAATCATCATACCCTCACCTGTTACCAGTTAATGTGTGGATTGTGGAATCTTCCAGAATGGTGTTGGTGGAATATTCTATAAACTTATTTAGCCCACCAGGACAATAGGCGTCGGTCCACAGGTGAGGGTTCAGAGACAGGTAACGACTCTCACCGATACTGGGATATAATGACTCAGTCATTAGGGGACATTGTTGGGGGTCAAAGGACTGAAACACCATCGAGGGGGATAAATATCTCCGGCTCAACGCCAGTCAGGCAGAACTGATGAAGCCTCTTGGATGAGAGGTGAAACGTTTTTGCCCTAAAAAACGTAGTCCAGTTGTTTTTTTCCTACATTTTTTCAGCTTTACGATGACCTGGATGACTGAGAATCTGCACAGTAAATGTGTTTATATTTACAAAATGCAAAATGAAGTTGGTCAGTGAAAACACAGAAAACCTTTTCTTTATACTTTTGTGTTAAATAAAGGTTCAAGCAAATTAAAGCAGAGATTTTAGTTTTTATTGCATTTTGGAAAATGTCCCAACTTTTCTGGAAATGGGGTTTAACATTTGTTACTTTAGTCTTCCATCCTCTCTCTCTCTCTCTCTCTCTCGCGCTTTAGCCGGGAGTCCTTAAATATTTACTTTACCTTTTGTTTCTAATTAAATTAATCAAATTAAAAGCCTAATGCAGAATCGTGCAATTGCAACACTGTGATATTTCATAAAGTTCTGAAGCTGTGGTGGGGGACTGCTGACACTGACGGTCCCATTTAGAGATGTACATATGATCCCAGTTGTGTCAGGTGAACAAAAATATGCTTATTTGATTTGGCTTTCTGTTTCCCCGGCAGGTGGGATTGAGACGGGTTCAATCACAGAAATGTTTGGAGAGTTTCGAACAGGGAAGACCCAGCTGTGCCACACGCTTGCTGTCACCTGTCAGGTACAGGTCCAACTGATTGCAGTTACTCTGCAGATAAAGCCTCAGTGGTGTTAGAAGTTTTGTATTGTATTGCACTCAAAGCAACAAGGAGGTGGATAGGGAAGAACCTTTATTTTTTTATTTATTTATTTTTGTTTGTTTTTAATATAGAAAAAATCCAATCATGTTTGAAGAAGGGGCATAGTTCTTTCTGCATAAACAGTATAAATTACTTATAAACAACTTCATACGGCACTAAGGGAACTGCCCTTTTCTTTGTGTCCATAGCTGCCCATTGATCAGGGGGGAGGAGAAGGTAAAGCCATGTACATCGACACAGAAGGAACCTTCAGACCAGAGAGACTCCTTGCTGTAGCTGATAGGTGAATCTGCACTTCATCAGCTGATGAAGGCCACAAACTGAAACACTTTTGTCGCACATTAAAGTTGTTCTTGATATTTCAAGTGCTGCTTAAATTTTGACCCCTTCAAGAAATAAAACACTGAAGGGGTCTGGAATTGGAAATAATAAAACACTTGATGTTTATATGATGTCCACATCTTTGTCATCAGATATGGGCTGGTCGGCAGTGATGTACTGGACAACGTGGCTTACGCCAGAGCCTTCAACACAGACCATCAGACCCAGCTGCTGTATCAAGCCTCAGCCATGATGGCTGAGTCAAGGTAAGTCGACATCATGGATGTATTATGAGAGATGGCCACTTGTGGTATTGCTACAAACCCCCCCCAAAAAGCATTTACCCCGTAGATGGCATCTGTAAAACTGCTAATGGCACCTAGTGGCATGCGGGTGAGACTGGCAGGGAAAACACTAATGTGCATGTGTAGTGGGGCCACACAACTGACTGGGCATAGTCTTTAAGTCTGGAATTCAGTTTTCCTTTAAAATGTTGTTTATTGACAGGCAGGTGAAGCAGGGCAGGTCCTTTGTTTCTAATTTGAGCTTAGTATGGCACAAGAGTTTTGGTTCAGTTTTTATTGTGATTCCCCCCATTTTTGAATAAATATATACTGTACAACACTGAACACAAAGCAGTGCAGCAGCGGCGCCCTGTCAGCAGTGCACCATGTACATGTGCACCTTGCATGCGTGATGTTTGAGTCCAGCTGCGAAAGTTTGTTGTAGATCTCCCCGTCTCTGGGCCTTTTTCAATATGCTTTCTTCTCTGTACTTGTGCTCTTGTCGACTTGTGAAACATTAACAGTCAGCACTGTTCCAATTCAGCCTGCAACGAGCCAAGTACAAATCAAAAACCTGGAAGCGTTCTTGCGCCACCCATTTTATCAAGGATGCTTTGAGAGCCGACTTGGGGTAGCCAAGTAACCCACACCAAAGTACAGGAGTCCAAACATGGTGTACTCCTATGCTGAGAATCATGACAATAGTAGAAATGTTCACTTTTATCTTGACTATTATGTATACGCCCTTGAAGCACTAATAAAATATAAAGTCTAAAAAGTGGAAGTCCAGATTGACCTGGTAGTAGACCTGTCTCCTAATAAACACAGTGACTCTGGCAGTAGTTTGAAACCACTCTCTGATAGGTGTGATTATCGGTTTCCAAAAAGGAGACACAAGACCATTTCTACATTAAATAAAGGAGAATACCTGCTGCATTTCACACTTTATTCATAAGACCCTTTTTAAGTGGTGTAAAAATGACACCAGTGTGAAGTTTTGGGTACATTAGCCAACAGATTCAAACTATTCCTGTATCATTTTCATCAGTAACATTTCAGTATGAATGTGCAAAATCCAGGTTCTGGTAGCCGTCCATCTAACACACACACACTCGTTCTCTCTCTCCCTCTGTGTCAGGTATGCTCTGTTGATAGTGGACAGTGCCACTGCTCTGTACAGAACAGACTACTCAGGCAGAGGAGAGCTGTCAGCCCGACAAGGACATCTTGGACGTTTCCTCCGCATGCTGCTAAGGCTGGCAGATGAGGTAGACAGCTGACTGGTGCAGGTGGACCCTCAAAAGCTACCCGTAGTTTAAGTTCTCCTGGTTGTGTGGTGTCATGTGCTTTGATTGTACTAGGACAGTACAAAAACACATCTCCCGGATACTGGGAAGCCCCTTTTAGATTCACATTCACACTCTAATATAACTTCTGCAACTCGTACTGAGTTCACACAGTCCGCAGTGGTGATGCATGTTAAAGCTGTGGAGTTTCTAAATCATGGCCATTTTTGTTACAACAGTTTGGCGTTGCTGTGGTGATAACCAACCAGGTGGTAGCGCAGGTGGATGGTGCAGCCATGTTCTCTGCAGACCCCAAGAAACCAATTGGTGGCAACATTTTGGCTCATGCCTCCACAACACGGTGAGTGATGCATGTTTGTTCATTTTGACAGCATACCTTGGATATTATTCACACCCGTTGCCCATTGATCTACACTCAATAAGCCAGGAGTTAACCTTTTGTAATTTAAGATCCACTTTTGATTGCAAAAAAATCCAAGGACCACCTTCCAAAGGAAATGAGAAAAACATAAAATACAACACAAAATAATAAAACTTGGCTGTAAATGTTGGGCCGCTGAGGCCCGCCGGGTTGAGAATTGCTGCAATAAATCATGTCAAAGTGAAAACTATTTGAAATCAAAACTGAAATCTCTCATTTAATAAAGTATTCAGACTAGAGATGCACTGACTGCAGCTTTCTCGGCCGGGTTCCATTTCTTTCTTTTTGTGTTGTTTTTCCATGTCTGTCCTGCTGATTGAAATAAAATGTACAAATCAGAAAAAAGTTGACTGACAGTGACAGTGGTTTCAACCTTCTGATAACTGATTAAAACCGGCAATGTCATTGCAGTCTGTACCTGAGGAAAGGTCGAGGAGAGACCAGGATCTGTAAAATCTATGATTCGCCCTGCCTGCCCGAGGCTGAAGCAATGTTCGCCATTAACGCTGACGGAGTGGGTGATGCCAAGGACTAAATGGGAAGACAGGCATGAATCAGGGAGGCTGTAAATCTGCTGTCACAGCTGACTCATCTCTTGGAATACAGTGTTGCCTTTCACCCAAACAACTACCTGCACACAGAGTGTCAGACTGAAGAATAATCAAGGGATGATGGTCAGGTATTGTATCGTTTTGACATTGCTGTGTAAAGGCAGTGTCGAAGATGGTCCAGGCTGCAGATCTGGCCTCATGGAGCAAAGTTATGCAACAATAAGATGGAAAACAGTTTGTTTACTAGAAACACGTTTATACTGAAGCACATTGCACTCATCAGACAAAAGAGATATTTTCTTGAACTTATGACATAGTATCTAAAAAAAAAAAGCATAATTCTTCATAATTACAAGATTGGTATCTCATAATTATGATTTAGTAATGCTACAATTATGAAAAAAATCTACTTGTGTAATTACAAGATTGATAATCTCTATTACAACAAAAGTATATAACATGACCTTTATCACGAGATTACCAAATGGCACACTCAAAATAAGTATATATATTCATCTTTAATGTGATTTGATGTGTAAAGTCTCATAAGTATGAGATATTATGAGATACTAAGTCATAATTAGAGATTCCTAGGCATCTTTTGTTGTTGTTGAATGCAGTGTGCTTTTGCAGTTTCCTCAACCGAGTGCTTAAAGACTATTTGTAAATTAATTTAGTAATAATACTTTGAGAGCTTTTTTCTGTTAACTTTGTCTGTATGGGGTTCCTGAGGATACAGCTGAAACACATTTTGCAATTAATGCATTCCTAGTTCCACATTAATGTAATGTGTTCATTTCCATCCAGCAACACCAGTCCCTGGTGTTGTCCCTTTCTGTTTGGCTTTACCAGAACTTTCTGTATATAAGCTTCATAACAAAATAAATTTTTTATTATTATTATTATATTCATTTGTTTTGCTTATTAGCATCATAAAAGGATTTGATACTGTATCAAATGTTACCTTATTGCTAGTCTTATGCATGGCCTATTACCAGTGTTGGGGGGGACAACACAATATAATGCTTATTTCACTGCGTAATTTAATTATGAATTAACTATTTACTGAAACAATATTGTGATTTATGTTTCAACATTTTGTAATAACCAGCAACAATTAATGCATTCTCAACAAACTCAATCTCCTAAATTTTAGGGCCTTTTTTTTTAGCACGACAACACTCCCACAGCTTTTCAAGTGGAAATATTGTCACTATGTTCAACTTATTGCTAAAAAGGGCAAAATCACTGTAAAACATCACGTCAGCCAAGGCATCACATTTTCTGCATAAAAAATTGCACACCTGATCTGAAGCAGTTATGTTGCACTAATCGAGGTGGATTCAGATGATAGATACCTTAAGAGCAATACTGACATGTCCATGCAACAGGAAGGGTCAAAGCAGCAAAAGCTGGAGCTGCAATTCCCATTATTGATAAAAACCAGTGGCGGTTTCTTAAGATTAGCATTTTATTATGGGGCGCCATAACCTCTAGAGTCCTGAGCTTTGGAAACCCAAGCTGTGCGGTCCTCATATGAGGACGCAGGGACTCTAGAGGTTAAAGGTCAGTTTATCTACTTTGCTCATAGGGGCACTTTACAGGGCATTTTAGCACACTTTCTCCACTGGAGTTTTTTTGTTTTTTGTCTCCACTTAGTTAACGCAAACCTACAAATTTAGAGACATACAAAATTGTATTAAATGCAATCCATGTGTCATTTAAGTGTACGTTAACTTGATTATAGGCTAAGAATATTGTGGAAATGACACTGATTTCAGATGATATCCAGTGTTATCTCACAACAGTAACAAAAGTGATGTCCACTGAACTCCACGTGCCAGTAACGACTAATAAACATTATATACTGCAACTTTACTTACATTTCAGAAAATAACACAGGAATGTAAAAACAAAAAATTCAAAGGCAGCAAATACACTCAAAGGCAAATTACAATACAGAAATATTAGGATACCTTTAACAGTCACAACCAAAGGCAAGGCTCCATGCGTTGTCGGTTTACTGAGGGCTGCAAAGATTCAAAGGCCATGTGATCCAGTACAGTTGCTTTATACTGCACTATTAGGAGGAATCTATGTGATTTGAAGTTGGAGTTTAATTGGAAAAAAAAGTCAAATGAAGGTTTAAGGCTGATATTTGGAACAAAGTACTAGTGTTACCCAACATGTTTCATAAAAATTACAAAGTATCTGAGATGGACCCAGCAGAACAGTATTGGAATAGTGTGTACAAGTAAGAATACCTTGTAGTCTATTTATTATAGTGATTCCTAAACTTTGTTTTTTATTTAAAGCTCTTAAAAACATTCCTGAACAAATTCTGTTTCTAGATTGTTCTTACTGGCATATTTATCAATGATGTTTTCTAGTGCTGGGGGAATTTCCAAAGTCTGAAGACTAGAAATCTCTTTCAGATGTGTTACATCAAAATGTTGGGACTCATTGTTTCAATGTACCTTGAAATCAGACACAAGTCATCCCTTCCAAAAGTTGAACTAAAAAGGATGCACCAGTCAAATTGGGAAAAGATAAATGAATTTCCTCTAGTGGCATCTACCCTTGCATATAATTTTTCTTTGTCCAGACTTTGAGATATCTGTCTCTAAGCTCTACAAAGGCAAAACCATCTGCATGACTAAATGGTCTCTAAAGGGAAGTTTACAATGTTTTTTGTCACAGTGGTGCTGAAAAATAAAACCTACGTTTGTTTAATCACTAACTAGGCAAACAAATAGTTAACAAAACATTAAATGACATTACTATATATATATTAAAAACTCAATGGTACTGCCTCAGTTAAGCCATAATAAAGAAAATAAATAGTAATTTTAT